AAGAGTCCATGAACAAAGATGGCCAAGACAGCAGAGTAGAGAAAATACAAGCACAAAGAGCTGTTTGCAGATCAGAGCCAAGGGAAGAAATCAGAGCACTGCCTGTAGAAAAGAACCAGAAGAGAAAGAATCTAAAAATTAAACAAAAGGGCAACAGGGGAGATGGAGAAGAGACACAGAGAAAGCGGACTGTTACAGTTTGGGTGTCTGTCCCCTCCACATCTCATGCTGAAATATGATCCCCAATGACAAAGTGTGAAGCGTTTGGGTCACGGGGGCAGATTCCTCATGAATGGCTTGATGCCCTCCCCACAGTAATGAAAAAGTTCTTGCCCTGTTAGTTCACACAAAAGCTAGTTGTTTAAATGACCCTGGCTTCTCTCTCACTGTGTGACACACCAGCTCCCCTTCCCTTCCACCGTGACTTCCTGAGGCCTCATCAGAAGCCAAGCAGATGCTGGCACCAGGTTTCTTGTAGTCTGCAAAACTGTGAGACAAACCTCTTTTTTTTTTTTTTTTAAATAAATTACCCAGTTTCATGTATTCCATTATAGCAATTAACTATTATAGGAACAGAGAAAAGAAATGGGTATTATGGGGGCCCAGAAAAGCAAGAGGGACCTTCCTCTTCAAATAGAGGAAAGAGGAACAGTAAAAGCCTCGAGACCATGAATAGAAGAGAAGTTGAGGGAATATGCAGCCTATGGCTTTTTCTTGTCACAGCAGAGATGAAGACTTAGGAATCTGGCCAGGTGCCGTGTTCACACCTGCAATCCCAGCACTGAGGGAAGCTGAGGTGGGAGGATTGCTTGAGACCAGGAGTTTGAGACCAGCCTGGGCAATAGGAAAAAACCCCATCTCTATAAAAAATACAAAAAAATTAGCCAGGCATGGTAGTACAGGCCTGTAGTCCCAGCTACTGGGGAGGTTGAGATGGGAAGATGGCTTGAGCCTGGGAGGTCGAGGCTGCAGTGAGCCATGACAATGCCACTGCACTCCAGCCTGGGCAACAGAGCAAGACCCTGTATCAAAAAAAATTAGAGCGGACATGGTGCCGCATGTCTGTAGTCCCAGCACTTTGGGAGGTGGAGGCAAAAGGACTGTTTGAGGCCAGGAGTTTGAGATCAATCTGAGCAACACAGCAAGACCTCATCTCTACTAAAAATAAAAATATTTTTAGAAATTAAAAAAAACAAGATTGGACTACATGGCTATAGAGAAAAACCTACAGGAAATGAGAAAAAAAAACAGAAACCAACACAAAAATACATCCATCATGCTATATATAGGAAGTTTTTCATAAAGTGGTTCCTCTCTGTAGTTTTTTTATTTTTCCTCCATGATGAAGCCTTTTTTATTTTTTATTTATTTATTTTTATTGCATTTTAGGTTTGGCCTCTCTGTAGTTTTTAAAACCACAGCAAACAGACTGGGTGGTTTTTAAAACCACAGCAAATAGATTACAAACTCATGCCTGTAATCCTAACACTTTGGGAGGCCGAGGCAGGCAGATCACTTGAGGTCAGGAGTTCAAGACCAGCCTGGCCAACAGGATGAAACCCTTGTCTCTACTAAAAACACAAAAATTAGCCAGGCATGGTGGTGGGCACTTGTAATCCCAGCTACCTGGGAGCCTGAGACACGAGAATCACTTGAACCTGGGAGGTGGAGGTTGCAGTAAGACAAGATCACACCACTGCACTCCAGCCTGGGCAACTGAGCAAGACTGTCTCAAAACAAAACACAGAAAACAGATAAAGCTATATATATATATATATATACACACACACACACATATATATGAAGTTATATACTGTGTTTGTGTGTAAATATAATTTTTTCGCCTCATTGGCTGAACAGCAAGAAAGGAAACAAGGAAGTAGGAAGGGCTAAGGACAGGTGAGTGATAGAACACTATGCCAACCTCTACCAATAAGAACAAAGAGCAAGGAGTTTCCCAGGAGGAAGGTCTGCATGGCTTTCACTGAGGGAGGGTCACCTTGAACAGCTGGCAGGCCGCAGCTGCAGCCTGCCGCTCAGCATCAATCTTCTTGCTGCCATAGCCTTCTACCTCCACGCTCTTGGGCCACTTTATGTGCAGTGTGACTTTCTGGGGAAGAGAAGAGAGAATCAGAACTCTTGCCACTCCAGACTACAGAGTTGTTGCAAATCACATGGAGAATAAACAGCTGTGGACCTCACAACAGCAAGAGGCTAGGCTCAGAGTTGAGAGCAGAAGACAGAACCTCAATCCCATTATTAACTCCTTAAAGGCTCTAACCCTCCCACCATGAAACCATTTGTTCTACCCCAAGCTGTTTTGCTTCTCCAAGGTACCATGTTCTAGCCAGAGGCCAAGCTGGGATCCATCTTTATTACAAAAATTGCTGGGGGACAGGGTCTCACTCTATTGCCCAGGCTGGAGTGCAGTGGTGCAATCACAGCTCACTGTAGCCTCAACCTCCTAGGCTCAACCAATCCTCTCATCTCAGCTTCCCTAGTAGCTGGGACTACAGGCCTGCACCATAATGCCTGGCTAATTTTTTTTTTTATTTTATAGAAATGGGGTCCCACTATGTTGCCCAGGCTGGTCTTAAAACCCCGGGCCCAAGGAATCCTCCCTACTCAGCCTCCCAAAGTGCTGGAATTACAGCCATAAACCACCACACCCAGGCCCCATTTTTATCTTTAAAAATCATCCAGGCTGACAGCAGTGGTGGCTCCCAGCATTTTGGGAGGCTGAGGAGGGGGGATCCCTTGAGCCAAGGGGTTTGAGACCACCCTATGCAACATAGCAAGAATCCATCCCTACAAAAAATACAAAAAATTAGCTGAGTGAGGTGGTACCTGCCTGCAGTCCCAGCTACTCTGGAGGCTGAGGCAGGAGGATCACTTGATCCCAGGAGTTTGAGGTTACTGTGAGTTACGACTGCACCACTGCACTCCGGCCTGAGTGACAGAGAGGCTCTGATTCTGTCTCTACAAAAATAAATAAAATAAATGTTAAATCATTCAAAATGGTTTGTCTGCATGCTTCTATAGTTCAAGAATGTATAGGACTCTAAGGGCGAGAATTCTCATCATCAACTCTAACCCTCCACAGTCCTTAGTTGATGGGGAACAAAAACCAAGGATCAGTGTAGGGGCCTGTCTTAGACAAGATGGTGCCTCATTTGCCCTGTGTTCCACTTCCCTAATGCAGGCATGTGTATTCTGGTTGTTCGTCAAACCTAGCTTTGCTGTGAGTATCTGCTGAACATTTTAATTCAGGAAACCCATTCTATGGCCTCCTTGACAAAGAAACCTAAGAGAAAAAGGACAAACAGCCTCCTTTCTCAGTCATATCAGTGTTTTTCCTTGCCAGCAGCAGAGTTACCTTTTTCTTCGGTCCATTTGTGTGCACGTAGACTAGTTTGTCTTTTGCATGTGAGATGCCAAGGGCTCTTCCAATCACACTGTTGAGAAGATTTTTGGGCTGTGGGAACTCTTTTAATAGGTCCCTAGAAGCTAAGAAAATAAGAACAAAAGCATTACAGTTGTTCTTTTTCTTTTAAAAACTCCATGGGGCAACCCTGGGCTGGATTCTGAGGATGTTGGCTCGTGACCCCAAACCACCCAGGAGCACCTTGAAAAACGAAGGAGGAATGACTTCAGGGTTTACAGGGGAGAGTGGGGCAAGACCCACTTGAATAACTCACTCCAATAACCATCTTTTGAAGGAAAAGGGCTAATGACCCACACACCACAGAAGGGAATCTACCAGCATCCTCTTCCCCGCCCAATCTCCTTATTTCATACATCAGCTACAGAAGCCTGGTTGGTTAATAAACCCTCCTAGTCTGATGTCTGAAAGAAGGTACTAAACAAACAACCAAACAAACAAAAAATACAAAAACAAAAATCCACCACACACACAAACTGGAGATCAAGACAATGCAAGGCCCCTCCTAAAATAAGACACACAGAAGAGAGGCCTGGCGGCATGTATCTCAAGTGATGAGACCCAGACGCTAAATACCAGACCCCAGCTCTCAAGTATACCTAAGCACACTGCAAAAGGCTTCCACAGAGCCAAACTATGTGTGGGGACTGATTAAAGACCTTTACAGCTGGTCACAGTGGCTCATGCCTGTAATCCTAGCACTTTGGGAGGCTGAGGCAGGCAGATTACCTGAGGTCAGGATTTCAAGACCAGCCTGACCAACAGGGTGAAACCACCATCTCTACTAAAAATACAAAAATTAGCTGGGTGTCGTGGCTAACACCTGTAATCCCAGCGACTCAGGAGGCTGAGGCAGGAGAATCACTTGAACCCAGGAGGCAGAGATTGCAGTGAGCCAAGATCGTGCCATTGCACTCCAGCCTCAGGAAAACCCCGTCTCAAAAAAAAATTTTTTTTTAATTAATTTAAAAAGACCTCCACATCTGAGCAGGAATAAGTTATTCCTCCTCCAAGTTCTCTGGAATCATAGGGAAAACTGATGCATCAGATACCATGAGAGGTGCCTTGCTTCTTTTTACTTGTTTTTTCGGATCAATCCCAGAGCAGAAATGGGTC